CACTATCCCTACAAGTAGAGAGTTTCTGTCATAACTTGCGCCTCACCTGGGCCTTACTTAAACGAAGTTAGTTCCCTCTCGTTCCACTGCTAAAATCGAACTAGAAAACCAACCACACTTTACGTTAGGGTAATGTGGGGGAATATGGCCCTACAAAATGAAACCTGGTAATAACGGCCCGTCAAGGTCGAATTTGACTTTTGCAATGTTTCTACAATATTGATTCATATCTCCTTTACTTAATCCCAGCAAGCCACATGCAAAAAACCGCATGGATATTGCGCCTTTGGATCCTTTCCAAGTTGGTCTCAAGAGACCATATTACCCATAAAGTTGGGGGAATATGACCACTTCTGAAAAAGCAACTCCAGGTTTTCCAGGAACGTGTGAAATATGCTGGAACTTGCTGAGTACCTTGAAACATAATAAAGAACGCTCAGGAGTTGAAAAAGAAATACTAACTGCTTTCAGAAGAAGGAAAGAAGTCGACATCATTACCTGACTCAAGGATCTGCTGCGAAAAGCAGGATTCCAACGTTTTAGGCTTTAAGTAGCAATGCACGTGATTGGGAGACTGTATTTACGAACCGTGGGCGTAAGAAGAGGGATCAAACATTGATTAGAGTGAACATGCTTTTAGAGTGTGAAATAAGAGGCCTTACATTGCAGGAAAAACATTGCGAAGTTTTTGCATGCATGCATAAATAGTGGCTAAAAATTGCAGAATACCCATTTAACTTATTGTACGAGGGATATTTACTTGCATTCAAATTTTGTGCCACAAAAATGTCTGGTGTATGTCAAGCGGATGTCTAAGAGGCGGTGCATGTGCATGTTCTCCTGCACCGCCTCCTCATGAACTGCATATTTCGTCCAGATGTCCAGCACGTCTATCCGTATATCCAGAGGAAATGCATGGAGAGATCTCTTGCTGCCTGAGGTCCCACGTGAAAGGAAACTGACGCTACCAATAGGTCAGTGCGGTGCTACTATGGAATCCAGGATGTGTCCATATTGCCCCAAATCGGGGTGGCCATATTCCCCCATATTGGCTTACATGACAAAATTGACAACACTGTATGTGTACCTCAAGTGAACGGACTTGCACTTTCCACAAGCATTCAGGAGGAACCATAGCATAACTTTTAACAAATGGTTTTTGTATCCATGCTGCTTTTAGGAAATATACGCTTAAGTGGCACAAGGCCCATATTAGTTTCAGGGCCATGAGTTGAAGAATCGCATGCATATGACTAAAAGAAATCGATCTATCCTGAATTCCAGTGAGAACTGGATCAATGAACAGGTCTAAACATGTCGACAATTGCATGCACTCTTCGATAGTCAAAATTAGCCCAAACTAATTATTCATTCTGTTAAGGGATTCATTGTGAGAGGCCATATTACCCCAATGGGCATATTCCCCCAAGTTACCCAATCGATTCCCGTAATGCTCTTAAACGCCTAGATGAGATTCCCCATCGCTAACCTTCTCTCGAGTGAGTACTTACCAGGATCTTCCAAAATTTTCTCATACGGAAGTCTCTTAACATCCTTGATCATTCTCTAGGCTTCCCTCGGATCCTCTCGAGCGCCATTACAAGAAACAAAACTGCGTTGCCGCACACTCGAACACTGACTGTGTGCCATTCAGCCATTGCTCGTCCATCCCCACTCCAAGTAGCAAGGGTCATCCCAGAGCGTCTGTTATAGATCCTTCCATCCCCAACAGATCCTGGCACACCACATTCCACAACGGACATCCCATGAACATAACGAAGGATTTGGCGCACAGGATGACAGTATTCATGACCTTAGGGATGTCTTCTGGATGTTTCAAAGATTTCCAAATCCCAAGACGTTTCATAATTCATCCATGGGATGTCATTCTGTCTCATGTGCGATCTATGTGGGATGTCCTGTAGCTCATTGGGACTGCAATAAAAAAACGCAGTCTTTGTTTGCGAACTTCATAATTTCTGAAACTGTCAATGAATTTTTAACTGTAGGTACACTACTTAAAAGCGCATTCATTCCACTTTCAAATACCACTAAACAATGAGAAAACATGGTACCTGGAATTATTATTTATTAGGAAAATAATAAATTAGCCACAGCCTCGTGCATTGGGCTTATTGTCTTTCCCACTCTGCCTGGACATAAACAATATGTATGTTGCGTCTAATAAATGAGCTTTACCTGGCTCCCTCATGATCGCGTTCGACAAACTATTTCGGAAACTAAAGTCGGCGATAACGTTCCGATGAAGAATTGTGGTTGCTTCAGAGGTACGTGTGTTCCCCCGTGATTGCATTCGAGTGGCTTAAAAATTATATAAAAAATCGTTCTATTTATATCTGAGAAAGTGATGATGGAGATCCTTGTCTTTGGTCATCAGAGGATAGAAGAAAGAAACATGTAGGAGGCTACACAGTGTCTGCTCTTGCTTTGATAGTTNCCGCTGAGATTCTGGCTGTGTAGTCTTGATTTTAATATTTTTCAATAGAATGACCTTGCGCGACTAGCGCTCTAACTAGTACTATTAAGTTTTTGCGCTCACACTGTTAACCTCATTTAACCAATACAACCCCGACTTCCGTTGACACTGATCCGTTAACTATTATTCGCTGCTTTCTTGCAGACGACCTGTTATTAATCCAGTGAATCATCCTATCCTGGATCCCCTAGGCCTCCTACTTATCCCGCAATCTCTTCCGAGGAATGGTGTCGACGGCCTACGCGAAATCTAAGGAGACAATATCCACGGGATTCCTGTGATCTCACTGTTTTGTCCCCCAATCATAGAGCTCTAGCGAATTGTTAAGACAATTTTGTCGCATTCTAAAACCGGCGGAGCTCGTCCAAGACACTTCCCCACATAAAAAGCTACACTGGAATATTATTCTTAACCGTACCAATACTTCCCGCTCGAGTTCCTCGATTACTCGAGCCGGAATCCCATCGGGACCGGATGGCACATGCCATCAGCATTTCTATCTTACTCGTGATCTCTCTTCGGTGATTATTATATCCCCGACACACGTCGAGATTACGTCCTTCATCGTCAGAATGCAATCGGATTCACTCCGAGCGCACAGAAGCAAAGAAAACGTGAAGGATCGTGACCATGCCTCAGCTATTCGCAGCGAACTCCCCCTGGCATCCTTGAGGGGTCCGATCGAATGTTCACTCCTACCGCTGGCATGCTGATAGAAAGTATTGGGATCATTCTTTGCATCCATAACAAGCCCTTCCTCTACATCCCGTTTTGCCGACGCAATTTCTCACTTCAGTGATCTTGTAACTCCTGTATATTCCTTGTATTCCGCTCGATCGATCACCCGTGCGTCCAAACGAATTCAATTTCTGCTTCTTACATTTGATAATGTAAGCCGCCTTCTTTCAGGTCTTCGCTGAATCCACATTCGTACTCAGCATCTGGGTCTTCTTTTTCGTCTTTTCCTGCAACTCGTCAAGTACTATTGAAAGACTTAACCCTGTTCTTGTCAATGCTATTGCCAGAACATGCTCACTTTCCTCGTCAACCTCCATTTTCACTGCTTGTTTATCCACAGCTGTTCTTGAAACGCAAAAATGCTCGTCTTGTGTAAACGGTTCCCCCTCATGAGAGCAATTGCTTCTGTAATTCACTCCTGTGTGGCACTTCCGAATGTTCTCGCCTGGTCTAAACAGGACTTTACGGAATGTGTCAACGTCCTGTATTTCGAATTCATTATGCATAATGCTCTAGCTCCCCCAGGTCTCAGTGTTTACAATAACATGGTAACCGATTCATAGCACTCTCCATTGCAGTACATCCATTTTGTAACGCAAGCAACGCGCATTCGTGTAGAAATACTTGAATTGATTATTGCCGTGCCCTTTTCTGTATATCGTTATGCGGTGGCATCAAACTAAATGCAATGGCTATTCCATGCCATGGATCCATATTCCTTAAAAGACTGCATCTCTTTTTTAATTTATATATTGACCATTCTAACTCCCTCCACGGAGATATGAACGCCATCCGTAACCATCGAATGCGCAGATCGCCTGTTGAGGCAGGGTCAGAAGTGTTTCCACGGGAAAGAGAATATTTACTTCGATACAATCGATGTTAACCCCAAAAAGCCTTGGCTGCGAATGCAGATTCTACCCCTGTACACGAGGGACAGGACCCCCCTATCACCTACATGGCAGCACCAACATCAAGACTGAAAGGGTTATGGCAAAGTTACTGGATTCAGTTGACTATGTCGATGCGAAATGATCCGCTCCACTTTCATTTAATATCGCATTGTGAACATTCCCGCGAGATTGCCACCTTTGTTCGAGTTATTGTATTTGCGTGACCGCAGTATGTGTACTCGTATTTACAAATCTGCAGTGTCCAAGCTTTCGAATACTTCGTCATTGTTATTGAGTTCCGAAAGACAGTGCCTTACAATTAAATTAAATTGTAAAGTATGTGAATATTTTGGAGCGAAATGTTACTGTTCTTGAAATATGCAATTGGAACTATAAAAAATCGAAATGATTGACCTTTCGCATCTTCAATAATTCCTCTTTTGGCGTTTCCTAGTCCATGATGTGGCGAAGATAGGACGAAGGTTTCGTCGCACCACCTAGAACATGGAACGAGGTGAATGGAGTCAGGGAGGGAACCCAAATGACCAAGGAATCCCTCCCTATACTGGAGGGAATTATCCGCATGCAATGTATTTCACGGATAATGGACCGATCCCCCAAACGCATCTTCAGTTTCCTCCAGACCGTTTTCAACAGCAAACTTTGATACTGATGAACCCCCAACAACAGGTGCATGCCGCCATCCACTTCCAGCCCACACCACAAAACCCAGAGCAATTCCCACAATATGAAGTGCCGATGCATCCAGGTGGATTTTCAAACCAAGAAGTGCCCGTTTCTCAAACTTACAACTATACACGTAGATTCATGGGAAATCCAGCAACGTATCAGATGCCACATTTCCAGGCCAACCTGCCAGCTGAGATGCCGTTTCCTTCTGATTTGTATCAGAACCATTTAATGCCAAATCAAATAATTCCAGACCCAACGCAATATACAGACCAGTATGGATATGTGCATTATGGGTGAGCGTTGGTAAATTTTGGATAATTATAATACTATTCTTTTGAGTACCTATCGGCTTTTTATCTAATATATTTAAATGCATGAAATTTTCTCTTATCCTCACAGGATCCAACAAATCCCTTCCAGAGGAAATTTTGGATTTCAAGATGACGTTCTGGTATATATTTTTTCTTCAACCCAATCTTTTTTTATTATCGGTTCGAATTCTATGCATGAAATATATTCTATATCCTCGTCTCTCCCTCTCCTGATAGAAAAAGGGAGAGCTCTCTCAAGAGCATTTCAGTCAGGACGTCATGATGCAGTTATGGAAGAAGTTGGTGAGTTCGATCGATTTCCTGTTTCTGTTGCCTTTTTGTGCGACAGTCTAATAAATGGTTCGTTTTTTAGGGATCAATGGCGGGGGGCAGGGCAACATCTCCCATGCGGTCACAGGTTAGTCGTCTATTTCATAGCCGACATTTGTTACATACTACATAATGGCATCACGCGTATCTGATGAATATGTCACCCATCTCGGCATCGATGGGTTCCCGGAATTCGGTATTTACTCCAAATGGGTATAAATGGGTACCTACCTTGTGGTATCCTATTTAATGGATTATTCCTTCAGGAAATATGTATGTATACCATGTAGTTTAACAAGAGGTTACACCGCCGATAAAACGTTGGAAAAATATAGTCATTGGATATTTTTCCAGAATATCGAACCATTTTTACATGATTGGATGTTACTTCATATTTCATTATTATCATTCACTTTTCATGGGACGGACCACTTGCGGCAATGAATTATGCAGATGACTGCCCCAGCTTTATTTCACCAGATTCAAAGTGCATTTACTCATGTGGGGAAATAATTAATACATTTGGTCTGACATTTGATAGCTGGGGAAGAATCTAACCTTCGTTCTAAGAGATGAGGACTGCTGTAGCAGCTACTCCAGTCCAGTAAACTTCAGACTTCTGATCCATATGTATAGTCCGCCACATGACCGAAACCTGCGATTGTTGCCCATTCTCTTCATTTATAGGCGTCATGGCAACTCGTCGAATATAGCTAATTTCTACTAGTACTCAAGTTCCAGGTCATAAGGATTTCTGTTCCAAGCCAACCTGGCTAGATATGCTGTAAATATATTTCGCCCAAAGGCGCGCTGGCGCAACAGATACTGCAAGGTGGTATATGTTGAAATTGGAAAAGATATAGGGAGGCAGACAAGAGTCAGGAGAGAACGTTTTTCCTTCACAATCCTGGTTAGGAAATGTGTGACAGTCTGAATCCTAAATTTCCTTGGAAATACAGGGTGTTCGGGATAAATTTGACAGAAAATAATTTTTTTTTTCAGATCTGGTACCCCTACGTTTATGGAAGTGAACGGCATTGTGAAACCTGATCACTACGGTTTAGAGATGTCAAAGTCAACTGTAATGAACAAGTGGAAACCACCTGAATATTGGAAAAGGGTAACCTGCATCATGATGATTCGTGCCGGGCATCAAGATTCCGCAATCATGACAGCTGCTCAATGCTGTTTGAACACTGTGAGAGCAATAAGACGTGAAATGAAGAGCTGCAACGGAGATTACGAGGCCTTGTCTTGTAGAAAAGGATACAGCAGACGTTCTGATTGCCTTCGTACACCAGAATTCATCGAACAACTGCAGAAGAAAGCGATGGAAGACCCAGGCAAGGGAATGCGAGCTTTAGCGCGGGAAATGTGTGTTGCAGCTTCCACCATGAAGCGGTAAAGCTCGCATTCCCTTGCCTGGGTCTTCCATCGCTTTCTTCTGCAGTTGTTCGATGAATTCTGGTGTACGAAGGCAATCAGAACGTCTGCTGTATCCTTTTCTACAAGACAAGGCCTCGTAATCTCCGTTGCAGCTCTTCATTTCACGTCTTATTGCTCTCACAGTGTTCAAACAGCATTGAGCAGCTGTCATGATTGCGGAATCTTGATGCCCGGCACGAATCATCATGATGCAGGTTACCCTTTTCCAATATTCAGGTGGTTTCCACTTGTTCATTACAGTTGACTTTGACATCTCTAAACCGTAGTGATCAGGTTTCACAATNGGATGACGAAGATGAAGAAGACAAAAAGAGAGAGGAAGCTAGAATAAGGCAACGGGAAGAGGAGAGAAGGAGGAAGGCTGCAGAACGGGAGCAGAGAGAAAAAGGACAGCAAGAAAGGGAAAAACAGTGCCTCAAAGGACTTCTCTTTGATGTCGTTGCAGGAACAGAAGATTTGAAATTGCATATCGATAACCTGCCGAGTAGTCTCAAAACCTTGAAAGAAAAAATTCGGAAGATTATCGACGAGGACGAAGGCTTCCTCTTTTCAGACAACATTATATCGTTGAAAATCCAGTTAGCGATATGCATGGACCACCAGACTCCCGAAGGATGTAATAAGAAATCATGTCAATCTTTGCATATTTGCACGAAATACCTTCTCGGCCTTTGCATTGATGCAAAGTGTCATGAAGGGCATGATATCAAGACAAGTCACAACTGCCGTCTACTTAATAAACATAACTTGCACAAAGTCGATCTCAAGTTTTTAAAGAAGTTGGTAATGCCAGACACCGTGATTCCAGAACCATGTGAGGAATACCACATCTCAGAATACTGCAGTCGAAAGGAAGAATGCTTCAAGATGCACCTTTGTGCGGATTTCATCATGGGAGCTTGCCAGGGGTGCAAGCTAAACCACGACATCTTGGATTCACAGTGTGAGAAACTGCTTAAAAAGGCCAAGGTTGATTTGAGACAAACAAGAAAGGACTTGTGTAACTTGCTGAAGGTGAAATGGGCTGTAAACATGGACGAGATCAAGAAATGGAAGGCAGAGAGGAAAGAAGAAACGAAGACTTGTTATGCCACGTTTCCCCCCGTCCAATCTGTCACGAAAATGTGTTATGCCCACGTGAGTTTAAAATTTCTTCATTTTTCCACTTGCTTTCACTAAGACCTGTCACAAAATACTAGTACTGCATGAAGGGTATCAGTTGGGCTCGTTTTCTTTTTCTAATTCAAAGTTTGTTACATCCACGAGATAAATTGTTTGTGAAAATATATTTGTGGGAAGTATGGACGTATGCCATAAAGAAACCTCATCCACATGAACATAAAGGCGAATGCATCCGACCTGAAGTTGAGAATGAGAACTCGCTGCATATTCACTGTAGGTAATGAAAATCTTGAAGTTATCCTTACTTCATTTTCAATTGAATGGTCTCAGTGATGGAGAATAAAAATGAATCAATAGAATTGTACAAATTCAGTCCCCTCTATCTGAAGATCAGGAACATATGGTAATCAACGTTCGAACAAACTTATGAGTTTTGAAAGTATATTTTTATCGCGATCGCGAAGTCAGCAATATCAGCCAAGAAACAAAAAAAAAGTTTTTCATGATAGCAAAATCGCCGACTTAATCTTCTTGGTCGAAGACGTCTAGTACATGACGTCATATGATTGAAGTATGATTGAAGCTTGCTTAATTACGTAAAGCCGCTGAGATTCTGGCTGTGTAGTCTTGATTTTAATATTTTTCAATAGAATGACCTTGCGCGACTAGCGCTCTAACTAGTACTATTAAGTTTTTGCGCTCACACTGTTAACCTCATTTAACCAATACGACACTAATTGGAATTCCATCCCAATTGCGCGAAATGGCCTGTGTCTAAGCCGACGAAGGACTTGTCAAATGTGTATGAAGGAAAAAGAAATCAGTTTCTGATTTTAAAAAGACTTTAACCGTATCTCATTCAATAGCCTGCTCGTTCATGGATTGACCCCTCTCAGCAAGTCAACTTTATGTCGAAATGTATGAAAAGGATGAGAAGTGAAGACGCGAGAGGGAAAAGAAAATAATTTTTTGTTGCTGCTCTCAAGAAATTCTCTTGGGTCATTCCAATTTGACGAGAGCGCCACCTCGGCCATCTCAGAATTGGACGAAAATGGCATGCACGTTGAGGAATGGATTTAAGGAAACTAAATTCCACCAATTGTTAATCTATTGCAAGGATCACCAGATATGTATTTAAATATTATCTATTTTTGGCTATGGGCGCCCATACAGACTGGAATTAAGGCTGTTTCTGCAATAACTCTAGTTAAGGTACAAGCTTTATTCTAGTGTCATTTTAATTGCGATATTGCCGTCCTTAACTTGTTTCTAGACACCATTCTCCTTGGATTAAACAAAAAATTTCACTTGGCCAAATAGTTTGATGGTTTAGCGGCCAATGTATGAACCGAAGACGACACTTGACACCTCGGGAATCCCTTGTTCCAATAATTAATTCAAAAGTTCATGGTATGCCATTTCTAACGACACCAAATATGAAATTGGCACTCAAGAACTTAATGAGATATGATTGTTTGTAGGGGTAGTGTGGAAATTCCTTTTGATCGAACAATTAGACCGATTTCAGCGACCGGCATTTGCTCTCCGCCACCAATGAATCCAAAGTTATAATACTTCATTAAAAAGCAAAATTCATGTCCTCTCCAACAATACAAATTCAAGATTGGCATTCGAATCCTAGATAGTGCATGATTATTTGTCCCAGTAGTGCAAACACTGTAATGGATCGAACAGTTTCACCGAATTCAGCGACCTCCATCTGTACTAGCCACTCCAGACATTGGAAGTTGCAATACTCATAAGAAAAGGTAAGCTTTCCCCTAACATCAAATTCAAGACGGGCACTCAATTGCTTCATGAGATATGACCATTTGTCTGCATTCACTGTCAAAAATGCTGGCTACAGGAATGCAACCCTATGCCGTCCTGAAAGTGATAATTTTGCTGTTTTTTTTCCATTTTAAATATTTTCATCATTTTTCTGGCATGGGAAATTGACAAATTTCTTTAGTGGTCAATTTCTTCTGAAGGAAAATTTGGAATCCTGCGGTAACAAAGGGTGGAAAATGTTCGAGGACTTCATCACAACAGAGAATATATCAAAATACATATTTTCATCTCATGAGGGAGATGATGAGGAGGAAGAGGAAGAGGGAGATGATGAGGAGGAAGAGCAAGAGGGAGATGATGAGGAGGAAGAGGAAGAGGGAGATGATGAGGGGGAAGAGGAAGAGGGAGATGATGAGGAGGAAGAGGAAAAGGAAACCTTCAATGTTGATATTGAGGTACGTGAGAATAATAACTTAGGAAAAGCAGAAATATGTCAGTGCATAAATACAAACCCCTGTGCGGAAACCATCGTGGGAACCTGCTAAGATAACCTTTGAAGGAATTGTAACCAATGCCGTTAGTCTTCGGACTAGTAACTACACCTTCATCTTACTTTGTTATCTTAAGTTTAAAAGGTGTCTGGGTGACATCGTCTCTTCCATATAAACAGATTGCCTCGAAAGGTAATGTAACGGGGCAATGAGGGTGGTTTTTGGACTGATAACTTCACTATCATCTTACCGTGTTTTCTTACCTTAAAAAGGCAGCTGTGACAATCGTCTCTCCTTTGCGCCGTAGCGAAGGACCTTTTACTAAGTCACACAGATTCATTTGAAAGGTAGAACAACAAGGTAAGGTGATGGTGAAGTTACCAGTCCAAAAAAAGCACCCTCATTGCTTTGTTAGATCACCTTCCGTGGCTGCCTGTGTTGAGAAGAGACGAAGGTAAGAATGATACCTTTCGAAAGCAAGGTAAGGAGTTAAATTGATGGTTAACACATTCAGGACCGGGTACCTGACACTTGTAAAACTGCTAGTGACAAGCAACTTTTTTAAATTCTTTATTTTACTTCATTTTGCAAGAAATTTCATAACTTACAAAATACTGCACTTACGAGGTCTGATCAAGAAGTTCTAAGACTTAATTTTTTTATGACGCTGTGGTGGCTCTTTCCGACTGCTGATGGTTATATCCTTTAAACTTGTTCTCTTCGGCATCTACACAAATTTTCTGGCGTTTCTTCAGCCATTGGAAGCATTGCTGGCACTCATTTTTTTGGAGTCACCAACAATGCAAAAAAAATTTATGCGTATCTCATTCAATACCCTGCTCGTTAATGGGATGACACCTCGCAGGAAGTCACCTTTATGTCGAAATGTATGGAAATGTTGAGAACAGGTGAAGGCTTGAGAAAAAAAAACAACGGGGGGTTTTCCTCTCAGGAAATGTTATAGGAAATTTCTTTAGTTGTTATTTTATTCTGAAGGAAAACTTCGAATCCGGCGGTAGCAGAGAGAGGAACATGTGGGAGGACTTGATCCCAGCAGAAAATATACCAAAGGACATTCCTTCATCTTATGAGGGAGATGATGAGGAGGAAGAGGAAGAGGAAACCTTCAAATTTGCTATTGAGGTACGTGAAAATAATAACTTCGGAAAAGAAAAAAGGCGTCCAAGTGCCTGAATACAAACCTCTGTGCAGACGCCATTATGGCAGCTTCCTCAGACAACCATTGTAGGTGCTATAACCAGACAGAGACGGTGTACTTCAGACTAGTAACTTCACCTTCACCTTGGCTTTTTATCTCAACCTTCAAAAGTTCCCTGTGTGACTTCGCCTATTCTCTATAGATAAGAGACGAATGTGAGAATGTTACCTTTTGAAGGCAAGATAACGAGGTAAGTTGACAGTTGAGTTACAAGACTAAAAACGCATACTAGTTGTTGCCTGGTTATATTTCCTTCGATGGCTGCTTCTGTGAGGGAGAATATTGCAATTTGATAGGAAGTCTACATAAGATCTTAAAGTTTCATGAAATTGCATGCATTCTTCCAAAAACACATTTTGAAAATCAACTTGACATCAGCACCTGAACTTGACATCAGCACCTTGACATCAGCACCAGAAACACATATACAGTGTGTCCCATAAGTCACTATTCCATTTCAAACTGCAATATTTTCCAAACTACAATAGCCAGGTCAATTTTCTTAGCATCAATGGAAAGAACGTTCTTTAGAATACTTTTGACAATAATGACTTGGAATCGGACTCAAACAGAAGTTCCTTCAAAAGCATGTCAGAAAAGTGTAAGTTTTTAGGGCTATTTATGGTACACAAACTTGAATCCTCTTTTACAAAAATTCCTAAACTTCATGTTTTTCCCCCTAATTCCAGACAGACCTGAGAAACGAAAAATATGTATTCATTTCCTTTAATTTCCTTTCGCTGTAACGAGAAAAGGCATCACGATTGACGCTGAAGCAACGTTCCTTCGTTGGTAATTGGAACGTAGGGTTTTGAGAGTCCCATCCGAGTCCAAGGGATGTTTTGGCAATATTTTGGTGGCGAGCATCATGCCGAATGTATTGATATGGACGGAGGTCATTTTGAGGCACCTTCAAAGTTCAGAAAAACCTCCATTTTTGACAAAGATAATTCCAAATGATATGCTATCGTAAAGTTAATGTAACTTCTTATTTTGCCAACTGTTTAGCAGATGTGAATTTTTGAAAAGGTATAGTGACTTATGGGACACCCTGTATAATACGCTAATGTATGTTTGTAAGCCGCGTTGCGACGTTATGCAAACAAATATCCTGACATGTTATGCATCGTTCGAAAGCCTATGGTCAAGAGGGGTGCATCGAGCAATCTGATTTGAAATATCTTCAACCCAGGATGAGTTACGAGCTATCAAAATGTTCACCATTATGCTACTCTGGTAATGTCCTGCACGGGTCGAGTTCCTGGTACCCGACCCGAAAGGCCGATTCACCCGATTCACGTCATGGCCTGCATCGACCCGAAACTCGAATTCCAACGAAAATTCGGCTCGACCCTACCCGATCCGAAGAAGGATCGCGAAATGTTCGGCCCTCGACGGTCCACGGGTCGAGTCGGGTCGGGGCGTTCTGGCCGGGTCTAAGCCGTACAGGCCTCTAACCCCTTATTCCTACAATAGCGAAAACGACTAATGTTTTATCCGTGAAACATTTCGAACTCTTTCTTCACTCCCTGGAATAAAACACTGGAAGGGACTACAGAACGGCATTGTTACAAGGTGCGCCAAAAGAGAGGGAACATCAGAAAAAACGTCAGCCATGGCCTAGGTCCGAGGATTAGGCTTAAGTCTAACCCACGTAAGTCCCTCCAGGAATTTTTTTGTGAATGCATCTCGAGTCGCACGGCTACGCACAGAGTCGAACGGATGCGCTCCATGACTCGAACGCAGAATTTCTCCCTTTCACGCCGCAATCTGTACAGCCAGCCTCGACTACCCTAGTGACTAATGTTTGCCGGGTCTGTTCGCACATTCTGCCATTCCTTTTTGCTTCCGTAAGAGAAAGGCAAACATACGAGGAATCGAAGGATTTTTTTCCTGGAATATGAATATGGCTTCGAAACACGAACACAACAAAGCGGGGCTTAACATTCTAATAGAATAAAATACAATGAAAAGGGAAAAAGCGCAAGCAAAAACTAATAGAGTAACCAGGAAATTTTCGATCAAAATACACAAAGGGAAGTGGGCTTTACCTCTCTGGATCATCTGGATTATCATCAGAATCATAAATTTATTGAGATCTTTGTATGGTTCTGTTTTTGATGCTGTTCTTTTTGCGACCCTTCTCATTTTTCTTTCGTCAAGCTATGGATTTGCAACGTTAAACCGAACATGCGCTCAGATCTGTCTTACGACATAATCAATCCAAATTAGTGGAATATTATTATCCTACCATTAACATATTCATAAAGGAACTCTTGCACTAAATTGTACTTGAACACGTAGTTCTATGGAACGATTTTCCTGGAGATACCCTACAACTGAAACACGATCGTTTCATATCCAATATCTGAGCGCGCTCAGATTTTGCACTCGTACTTCTTCTCACGATCGAAATATCATAGGAAATCAGAACCACGGCATCTTCGATACAACAGGGAAACTACAGCAAGATAATTCAATCGCCTGAGAGGACATCGAACAAGCAGTCGACACTTTTAACCTAAGCGTTCGAGTGAAGTTGCACATTCCCGAAGCGTTCGTGTCAAGTAGTTTTCCCCTATTGGAAACCTCCCATACCTCTTCGTCGTCTCAGAACATCCATTGCATGTCATTAAAATTCCGTCTTCTTTTCAGCGCACACACCGTTGCTCGCATGGTTCCATATTTTTATGTTTATTCATCGTACTTGTTTTCCTCGCATTTTGCTTCACGGTTGGCACAATCCAGTGTCCCCAACATTTGCTCTGATAATTATTTCTCCCTTACGTTCCGGCTGAAGGACTGCACCAACATGTTCTCATTGTTCCAGGACTGTGATGCGGTTCCGGTTGGTTTCAATAGCCCAGTTACCACGTCTGAAGAAGAGCCTGAAAAAGTGGGCTTCGCGTTCCTCGGAGAAGGCTATAATGGTGCACGTCCGTCACTTCTCGTCCAGTTCCGGGGGTAAATGCATGTTTTAATATTTCTTTCGTTGCTTGCTTTTCTCTTACAGAAGGACGCCTATGGAACTTGAGTGCTACAGTCGACATATTACACCATATTCAAGAAGCTAAAAGAACCCTTAAAGTAGTGAAGAGCAGACGAGGTGATCGAGATGGGGCGAAAGACGAAGAGATTCTTGGGGGAGAGTATGGGGAGGATCGACAGAGAATCCTGAGAGAAGCGGTCGGCAGATTTCGGCAAGGAATCGGGGGTCAGCATCCCGGTAAGAAACTGTCCTTTACATGTTCTTCGTCATCTCTCAGCCTCATATGTCCCTGGATGTATGAGGATCGTTCATGCGGAGGCTGAGACAGAGACTGATTGGTGTTCCTCTTTTCCTCCCGAATTTTATTCATTTAAAGCGACTCAGACTTTCTGAAGATTTTAGGTTTTCTGCATTTTCCGTCGTTTTCTCCAATTGTTTTTGAATGGGACGATCAACAAAAGCTAGTCAACAATTGCCCATGTTCCGCTCAATGCCGTCCGAGATTGCTCTTTCCCTACACAGAGGGAAGCAAGCTGGTACTAGTTTACACGAGCAATTGGTAGAAGATGAGGATATTCTTCACCACTTATCGAGTCTCCCCGAGCAGCATGTTTATGTTGATTTTACGTAAAGTGAATATAAATTTTTGTCCATTTTATATCTTTTTTTACGGAAACCATCATCATGATAATGTCAACATGTTTGCAGAAATATAACCTTTGTAATACGTAAAAGGTGATATAAAATTAAAGTAAATTTTACGTAAAATTGATATTCCCGTTTACATTCGCTTTATGTAAAACTGATGTAATTTTCCCCTAAAATTCATGCGTATTTAACGGGCCAATTCGTACTTTTGAAGGGAATTAATACACTGTATTTCTCCCATTCCTTTCCACACTAAGGAACTCTGGGGCACTTAGATGAGTACACAAGTACTCGCCTGTACTACTATTCAAGAGTACCAAGATGATCCACTGGCTCCTCCTCCCGTACCAGAACCTCGCGAGGAGTAGATGTATGGAAGAGCTCTCTTCCATTCAGGATAGAGAATTTTGAGGACTTGTAGAGTTGGGATTCTACTCTTCCCTAATCCCGTGCAATGCTGTAATAAAAAGCTTAACTTCAGCATTTAATGATTCCCTGAGTAACATATCATACAAAATATATAATCATTTCATGTTTTCCATATATATATTCATGGATTGCATAAAAAAAAGTGGAAGGATTGTAGGAAAACCTGATACTATATCAGGAAAGCCAGTACTTAATAGCATTTGTAGGATGCAGGGAACAAGAGTTCCATCTAGTGAGGAATCTTTGGTCTGCAATTGGGGGATGGTCAGCAATAGTTTCATATGGTGTTAATTTCGCATAAACTTGATATCATGTACTTCACGTCAGATGGAGAGACGTCTGGTTCATGTAAAATACACGTACACTTTGGTGACGTAAATATAGGAACGCAAATTTTACGTAAAGGTGATGTAATTTGCATGACAATCGTAAGAAATTTACATTGTTTGCATAAAATTGATACATTCTTTACGTAAACATGCTGCTTGGGTCTCTCTGCCTCACATATTCCAGTCGATATACCCTGGAGAATTATAAAAACATTTAGAGAATTCATTAATCATCACATCATGATCTTCATTCCACAGTTCACCTTTTTTCGGTTTCATTCACTAGGACTTCTCCCCCTCTCCCAACTCGAGAACCATCGTCACAGGTACCACCAGACCCTCAATGTTCACATTCTCTTTCTGAAGAAAGTGTGGTGGCCCTGATGGGAGACGAGAGGGGATGGGTGGGGATCGGAGTTCTCCGTCCCGGCCCTCCCAAGCCGTCCTTTCTCCGGGTCCTGGATCATACGTTCCAGGATGCCAGCGACGGGGAAGAGGTGAAACTGTGGGGGGGCTTGGGGTCGTGCTGGGGAGGGATGGCAGACCGAGTCTTCCTCTTCGCTCGGAAGAAGACGTTCGTCGTGGAAGTGGACGGAGAAACGTCCTGGAGTCTCCCAGATGATCGGTCCATCTCCTCTCTTCCCTTTCTTTCCTCACCTTTCCACGTTTCCTTGTCAACGTGCCTCGTACCATGCACCGTGCCTGGGAAAGGGTTCTATCTCTTTGGGGGAAGGTCGGGAGACGGGAAGAGATCTCTGTCGGACGCTGCCATGTTTCTTCCCGAGGTGGGAGGAGGGGTCTGGCTTTCTCTGCCCGATCTCCCGAAGAAGATGTACGGGGCAGCAGGGACGGCTCTTAAAGATGGCTCCTTCCTCATTATCGGTGGAAGGGATGGAAGGAAGAATAAAGTGTTGAAGACGGCATATGTGTTTGACCCGCGCAAGGGTAAGAGATACGACCCCCTCACGGACATGCCGGAACCGGCGGTAGCGGCAGCAGCGACAGTGTGGAAGGGGACGCAAGTCATAGTCGCTGGTGGAATCACAGGGAAGAACGGGGAAGAAGCCTCCTCCGAGGTCAGAGTCTTCGATCTGAGGGCGAGAGCATGGGAAACGTCCTCTTCTTCCCCCTGGCCCTGTCTCCGTACCCCGAGGTGGTGTCTCGGCCTGGTGAAAGATACGCAGGACCGGGTGATCGCCCTCGGCGGCGGGAAGGGTCTCGCCACGCCTGTCCGAACATTGGAAGCGTTGGGGGAGGGTGGATGGAAGGAATCGCGCCTTCCTCACGCTCTTACTGGCTGCTTCCATCCTCGGGACATACTGTGAATGGTGATAACCTACCTCTCCATCATGTTGGTCGGATATACATGAGATCGTCGTATGTTTTTATTTTCATAACGAAAGGAGATGACGAGTGGATCTCGGGAGTCCCAACTCTTTCTGTGCAGTCACTTTCTTATGGAGATTTCGCCATTTATCTCCCTTCGTGTTTTGCACTACAAAAATATCATACTTCCAGTTATATAATTTTATATAAAGGAAGAGTAAAATTGTCTTGCTTTATTTGTTAAGGTGCTCCGCTCATACCTTCATTTGTTGCATTCACTGCATTCGCTGATGATCGACTCATACCATACACGATTCGTAGTATCGTCGTTGATAATTCCTCTCGTTCTGCAAGATTTCGTTCGATGAAATCGACTCTCACCATCAGGTGTCAATTAGGCGTCAATTAAGGAGTCGATGGCAATTTCACAAAGTGGAACGCTTTCGCTAGATGACTCAAACGTTCTTTCGAACGCTCGAACGCGTTTTCACTATGTGAGGAAAAGTATATTGAGGAAAAAGTAAGGTCATGAGTAAGAGTAGCTTTTAAGAGGAGGGCAAGATACAGTAAGCTTTATGACTTTGTGGGAGATTCTGAGCACACCTTATGTCGTGGCTCTTTGCTTTTGTGGGCGTGGTCCCACACGATATTTTGTTTCGTACGGAAGGTTTTTGGCTTGACAAAGTCTTCAAGATTGCCGACTGAAAGGATTCGAGTTCACCCAAAACTGAATTTCTTCTGTGATTGTTATGAAGATAGGATAGGTTACCTGCTCCCTCTATCCCTGTAAATATCATGAGTAAATTTGTTGCCAGATATCGGGCATAAAAGTTTACCAAACGCCAGCCTCCTAAACCCGAAGTCACACACGCACGCTGTGGATGAGGACTACATGCAATTTATTCAGGAATAAATTGCATATCTAACGTGATAAAGGAATCGTTGAATTCATTTGAATTGCTGAGTGACTTCTCCTAATCTGGGAGGGGATTAACAACAGTGGTAAAACTGATTTTGATGTTTCTATCCCAGGCAGCACACTCGCGTTGGGCTAACTTAAGTAATATATTGGTTTGCCGGAAGTGCGATGTGAGCCCACAGTTGAGCCCTTGTAGGCATGGCCCTCGATTGTTTCCTTCTGAGGCATTCACATTTCATAAGGGAGTATAATTCAATTTGGATTTCATCCATCGCTCATCTAGTTCTTTTCTCGCTCCGTAAGTCCTTGTACGGAGAGATCCTTTGGGGTCTTTTAATGTATCACATCCAGATCTACACCACGCGTAGGAGAGCCCGACGCATTTCCCTCAATGAATTATCCTCGCCACAGTAGTCAGGTCCCATATTTGGACTTAGCTTTTTCCACAATTGCGGGGAGTCCCCCTGGATTGTTTACCTATCCATTGAGGAATTTGAGTGTCTTCGCCTACGTTGTTGTTGGGAAAAGATCGGATACCGCATGAAATGTGCAGAGAACTTAATAGTGGATCAATCCTTGATGCTTTGAGATATCGAATTTTATGCTAGCAAAGTCGCAAAATGTGTGGGAACCTTGCTTGTTAGAATTACTGATATAGATGTCGCCCAAGCAGATTGTACGAATGTTGGCTGCCGCGATAGCGCCAAAGTTGAGCCTACATGGACAGTCCACACTGATTTTGGCCCACTCTCCCCCACTCACGCCAACGTGGGTCCAACATGGTGTGCTGCCTGGGATTCAATTGCTTCGATCCTCTCTTTACACCATTTTTCTTAATTATGATGGTTAGCGCACTGACCGCAACATCAATTCGTTGAGATGATCCCACATACATATGATACGACCATGTAATGTTGCGATTCTGGGACATTTGCGATAATGAAAAAACTAAGATGTATATGCCAGTGTTTTCCTAGCGACAAGAACGCAAGGAAATCAGAAAAATTCTGCAAGATTCCGAGATAACAGACGATTGCCTGAGGACGACTACCCTTAGTAGGATTTCCAGCATGATTTTCCAGGAAAGGCTTCTTTAGTCCCCGTTATAGAGTACAAACAATGTTACTTGCGAACATCACTCTGCATCGACCGTTAATGGATGCATCCAGGAGACGCATGGACAACATGCGGCAAGGCCGAGGAAAGGGGATCCCCGTCGTGGATATTGCAGATAATTGCATATGGTAGAGGTAACTATGGTAGAGTGAATTATTTTCCGAGCTATAACCAGAGAGTTTTTCCAAGAAAGCTGATGGAAGCGTTAAAATCATAATACGCATTCATCCTGACATGATTTGCGCAGACAAATACACACGCACATTTCTCTGAACGATCGTAGCGAGGATCTCATCAACAACGAAACGAATTTATGAAATTTGCCGGAGAAACTCGGTCTTCACCAAAATAACTCTGCCAAGACGAGATGAGAGGGCGCGTGTTGGGTAGTGGCAGCTCGTAATATTCAGCGCTAGAGTGTCGTCTATGGTTCGGAGGTAGGCAATGCCCTCCCCTCCTCCCCTCCATAGACGGAAACAAGCGCGAAATATCACGTGACGCCACTGGTGTTGGGAAAGTGATGCGTTACTGCAATCGGAGTACATTTAACAGTTAACCGTGAAAGTGACGGTATACCTTTCGCCAAGCGTAATGGTAATCCTTGGTAATCTGACGACTTTTTCAAAGAGAAAAGTTACTGAGGCATTCCACCTCAAGGGGTGGTTGCGCTTCAGACTCCGATTTGCTTGAAGAAATTATTGCATGTTGGCAATCAAGACTTATGAATAAATCCAAAATGTTCGCTCTCTGGTTGTAACAGATCTCGAGATATGCGGCCCGAAACCTCGCACCCAAGAGGAAAAGTGCCCTCTATGGTTAAAGCGCTATCTTTGGTCCTAGTCGAGCTAGATACGCGTTTTTGGACTCTAAGTGAAGCTGAGACAATGAAAAATCGTATTATTCAATGCATTTTCTAATGCATTTATTACAAATTGAGTTACGCAATTTCCAAAATGGTAAATATTGCTGAATTTTGCACGCAAATTATTAGCACTAGGATGCATGGTAACACCACGACCTTTCGCAACATTGTGGACTAAGACAATTGCAATTCAAGAACTAAATTTCAACTTCCTACGTTTTTTGAAGCAACTTAAAATTAAAATTGAAAAGTCCAAAATAGCCAATTTTGGCCAACTTTGGGGGTTCGTACTTCCCGTTTTAAACAAGATATAAACCTGTAACTACAGTAGTGGCAAATGAAAGCTCTCTCCAAGCGCTTTCCATTTATATATTTAGCGCAAAAAGTGCTTAATATCTTGTGAACATGGAATCTTTTGATTCATATTAATGTTACGAACTCCGTATTTTCTCCTCCTTTGCTTACAGAGCAGCAATTAGTGATATAACTGAACTTTGATGTTTCCTACAATGCGTTTGCTTTACATATTTTGTGCATGGAACTCATTGAAAGAGGGTGTTTCACACAATGTAAGTGTGCTTGGACAAGCCGGACAGAGAACGAAATCTGCTTACGCTTGCTTTGGCCCTTCCCCTTCTTCTAGCACTGTGTAGGCAGTATGCTGCACAATACGCAGTTTAATTTGAAGTTCTTTTCTTGAAGTTCTGGGAAAGGTCATCAAAGGAGGCGCATCTCGATCGAAAACGCTTCTAGTAGTGACAAAAGTGAATACTATGATTCAACGCAATATGGATAACATGACGCACACTGAAAAAGTAATACAGCAACCGGCGACTAACGTCAATATTGGCAGTGGAAAGAATCCATGAGCAGGATGCTTCTGAATTATGTCAATCTTGAAATAAAACCGTTATCGTTACCTTTACGAATGCTTGCATGGTGCCGAATACGACTAATGTTCTCTCACTATATGGATGTAATCAGTCTTCTAAATACGTATAATCTACTTTTCACAGCTTTTCCAAATACAACCTTCATGGAATTTCTAATGCGCGCTCTATGCGACCGCTTTGTAATAGTCTCTCACCTTTGATAATGGTGAACCTTGTGAAAATGTTGTGATTCAGCCAAAGCAGTACGCGAGAAAGAAAAATAGTATCGGATTAATCTGCTTGCGCAGCCCTGTAACTGCCCAGATATCGCATTATTATTGTCGATTCTTGTCGCTTTAGGGCATGCAGTGAATCCATATGACAACAGATGTGTTATGATACACACACAGGAAGAAGGGCCTGCGAGTCGAGATCTATTCCAGTCAGACGATTACGTTTTGCGCTTACTTCTTTACCCTCGTGTATTGAGAGATAGATTCGAGGCTTTAATAATATAATCTTTGTGGAGTTTGTATAGTCACGAGATACGTAATGCGGGACCTCGTATCCGCACTATACATATAGCGCTCTCCAACTGGCAACTCAGACTCTTATGAGAGTGAAACCAACGTAATTCTCTGCACCTGATTTCGGCAGCCGAAAGGTAAGTGATGTTCGAGAGTCGTTCGATAGGTAAAGCCTTCCTTTATATCTACCCTTTATATCTCTTCTGAAAGGTCTGTTCCTCCTCTTTCAGATGATAACATGCTCGTAGGTGATACCTAAGACAGTAGCACGTAGTCATAATATATTTGCACTGAACTTTGAACTTATTTTGCAACAAAAAAAAAAACAATCTTGGATTTCCGCTGAATTAGGTTGAAGGTACTTGGCTAGTACGGATGCGGGCGTTCATGATGAAGGTGAGGGATCGAGAGAGTTCAATTGCATGCTCCCGATACATAAGTCGCGCATGCTCACGTAATTTTCCCAGTTTTTCATAAAAGGCTGTGGGCTTTACGTGTACCGCAATTTATCATAAAGAGGATCGTCTAGAAGGAAGACAAGGTGATGGTTCAGATAGGCGCAGGAGGCCGAGTTGGGCGGGCCTTGGCATGGTTCAAGTTTATTAGCTAAGGAACCTCGATGGGACTGTGGCAATGGATGCCGAAAGAGGCCGCAATGGGTGTGAAAACGGAACAACGCTCTCCTGGGTTACAGATGTGGAAT